ATTTGCCCAAAGTTCTCTCAAAATGCCCTTAATTGCTCCTTGCTGCAGTTGGTCTGCCACTCCTTGCCATTTTGGCATATGTTGCCGCTTCTTGCGCTTGGCCCCGGTAATGGCTGCTTGCAGCTATATTTATTATTATTCTTCTTCCGACTGGGCGTCTATGGCAGCCCATAGACCGGTTTGCGGGAAAGTTGTTTTGGTTTGACATTCTGATAGAGGACAGTCCCAACTTTAAATACACCAATTTTGGTGTCTCTAACGCATTCCCTCTAGCGCCACCAACTGTCCAAAATTTCACTTTTATTATGCTAATAACTTTTGAACCGTAAGGCCTATCAACAAAATTCTTTTTTCCTCTTGTTCCTGAGCTCATGCCGATTCGATCGCACCCTATGACGTCATTTTCCGTCATAAAAAAACGGCCGCCATTTTGAATTTTCCAAAAAAACTACTTTTGCGAACTCGTCCTAGACGGTTTGTCCGATTTTCACCAAAATCGCACCGGATCATCTCCAGGCAGTGCTGACAAAAAGTTATGGAATTCAAGATGATTCGAGTAACCGTTTTTGATAAACGCGTAAACAAATTTTACGTAGCGCTTGCAAAAACAGACGTGAGGCTGTATCTCCGCAACGCTTAATCCTATTCAGACCAAACTTGGTACATGTCATCACAAGCATGACCTGAGGCTACATGCAGCGTTTCGGCGCAGCGCCACCTAGTGGTCCGGAGATATGAAAAATGGCTATTTTTGCTGGTAACTTCTGAACGGTTTGTCCAAAAATCAAAAACTTGGTCTCGTTAGATTCAGGGCATCATGCTGAGTCGACCGATATCCAATTTTCCCAGATCGGCCATTTTGGCTGTCGGCCATTTTGAATTATGTGCTAAAATGCTGTATTTTTTGAACGCATGAACGAATTGTTACGAAACTCGGTATGGGTCATCAGTACGATGCCCTGAAGGAGCCTGAGAAGTTTCGAAACAGCGCCACCTAGTGGTGAATTGTTTTATTCAAACGCTTATAACTTTGGGTGTGGTACACTTATTTTCACGGGAGTCATATTTTTGAGGTCCTGAATCGTTGCCGAGTCCAACGATACCAAATATGTCGGGTTTTGTCTCACGGATGGCGTAGCATAGCGATTTAGCGCGAAAAAAACACGTGGCGATATCTTCAAAACCGCTGTTCCGATCGAGACGAAACCATCGTCAGAAACACGGAATCATAGCTTGTTAACTATATGCAAATGCCCAAATGCGAAAATATTGATAGTAAGGGGTAGTAAAATTCAAACAAAGTCATGTGTCAGTCATTTTTTACGTGTTTTTTCATATAAATGTTTATAACTCGGAAGCGAATTGAGATATTTTCACCAAAATTGACACACATATGTATGGGGTCACTCTGAGGACACACACAAAAAATTGTGGGACTGAGCCTCTTGGTGGCGCTATAATAGAACAAAACGTGAAATTCCCATTGACTTCAATACAGTTTTGTGAAATACAATGCTATACTAAACAAATGCTTTGGTCTAACATTACGAAACTCAGTGTGTGCCATAAGCAGCATGCCCTGAAGGTACTCAAAAGATTTTGAGACAGCGCCACCTGTTGGTCAAAAGTTATAATTAATTTCTGAGAACGCTAATAACTTTTGAACAAATTTGCCTATTGCAATGAAACTGATCTTAATAGATTCCTTGGGTTATGCCGAAAACATAGATGTCAGGTTTTGCATAATCAGCTAAACTTCCTGTCCACCATCTTTATTTCTTTGAGAAACCTTCTTTTTCGAACTCCTCCTAGACCGTTTGTCCGATTTTCACGAAAATTGAATCGTATCATCTCCAGACGGTGCCGAATAAAAGTTATGGATTGCGTGACGATAGACAAAACCGTTTTCGTATACCACAGCATCAAATTTGAGGCATGCTGCCAAAATGACTATTTAGGCTTTATCTCTGCAATGCCTTCACATTTTGACACCAAACTTTGCATGTGTCATTGTCACCTCACTCTGACCACATCACATCTATTTCGTAACTGCGCCACCTATTGTTCGAAAGTGATAACCCATTAAATCATCTTATAAGTTAATGTTTATGTGATTTTCTTAGCCATTTGCCCAAAGTTCTCTCAAAATGCCCTTAATTGCTCCTTGCTGCAGTTGGTCTGCCACTCCTTGCCATTTTGGCATATGTTGCCGCTTCTTGCGCTTGGCCCCGGTAATGGCTGCTTGCAGCTATATTTATTATTATTCTTCTTCCGACTGGGCGTCTATGGCAGCCCATAGACCGGTTTGCGGGAAAGTTGTTTTGGTTTGACATTCTGATAGAGGACAGTCCCAACTTTAAATACACCAATTTTGGTGTCTCTAACGCATTCCCTCTAGCGCCACCAACTGTCCAAAATTTCACTTTTATTATGCTAATAACTTTTGAACCGTAAGGCCTATCAACAAAATTCTTTTTTCCTCTTGTTCCTGAGCTCATGCCGATTCGATCGCACCCTATGACGTCATTTTCCGTCATAAAAAAATGGCCGCCATTTTGAATTTTCCAAAAAACCTACTTTTGCGAACTCGTCCTAGACGGTTTGTCCGATTTTCACCAAAATCGCACCGGATCATCTCCAGACAGTGCTGACAAAAAGTTATGGAATTCAAGATGATTCGAGTAACCGTTTTTGATAAACGCGTAAACAAATTTTACGTAGCGCTTGCAAAAACAGACGTGAGGCTGTATCTCCGCAACGCTTAATCCTATTCAGACCAAACTTGGTACATGTCATCACAAGCATGACCTGAGGCTACATGCAGCGTTTCGGCGCAGCGCCACCTAGTGGTCCGGAGATATGAAAAATGGCTATTTTTGCTGGTAACTTCTGAACGGTTTGTCCAAAAATCAAAAACTTGGTCTCGTTAGATTCAGGGCATCATGCTGAGTCGACCGATATCCAATTTTCCCAGATCGGCCATTTTGGCTGTCGGCCATTTTGAATTATGTGCTAAAATGCTGTATTTTTTGAACGCATGAACGAATTGTTACGAAACTCGGTATGGGTCATCAGTACGATGCCCTGAAGGAGCCTGAGAAGTTTCGAAACAGCGCCACCTAGTGGTGAATTGTTTTATTCAAACGCTTATAACTTTGGGTGTGGTACACTTATTTTCACGGGAGTCATATTTTTGAGGTCCTGAATCGTTGCCGAGTCCAACGATACCAAATATGTCGGGTTTTGTCTCACGGATGGCGTAGCATAGCGATTTAGCGCGAAAAAAACACGTGGCGATATCTTCAAAACCGCTGTTCCGATCGAGACGAAACCATCGTCAGAAACACGGAATCATAGCTTGTTAACTATATGCAAATGCCCAAATGCGAAAATATTGATAGTAAGGGGTAGTAAAATTCAAACAAAGTCATGTGTCAGTCATTTTTTACGTGTTTTTTCATATAAATGTTTATAACTCGGAAGCGAATTGAGATATTTTCACCAAAATTGACACACATATGTATGGGGTCACTCTGAGGACACACACAAAAAATTGTGGGACTGAGCCTCTTGGTGGCGCTATAATAGAACAAAACGTGAAATTCCCATTGACTTCAATACAGTTTTGTGAAATAAAATGCTATACTAAATAAATGCTTTGGTATAACATTACGAAACTCAGTGTGTGCCATAAGCAGCATGCCCTGAAGGTACTCAAAAGATTTTGAGACAGCGCCACCTGTTGGTCAAAAGTTATAATTAATTTCTGAGAACGCTAATAACTTTTGAATAAATTTGCCTATTGCAATGAAACTGATCTTAATAGATTCCTTGGGTTATACCGAAAACATAGATATCAGGTTTGCCATAATCAGCCAAACTTCCTGTCCGCCATCTTTATTTCTTTGAAAAACCTTCTTTTTCGAACTCCTCCTAGACCGTTTGTCCGATTTTCACGAAAATTGAATCGTATCATCTCCAGACCGTGCCGACTAAAAGTTATGAATTGCACGATGATAGACAAAACCGTTTTCGTATACCACAGCATCAAAGTTTAGGCATGCTGCCAAAATTACTATTTAGGCTTTATCTCTGCAATGCCTTCACATTTTGACACCAAACTTTGCATGTGTCATTGTCACCTCACTCTGACCACATCACATCTATTTCGTAACTGCGCCACCTATTGTTCGAAAGTGATAACCCATTAAATCGTCTTATAAGTTAATGTTTATGTGATTTTCTTAGCCATTTGCCCAAAGTTCTCTCAAAATGCCCTTAATTGCTCCTTGCTGCAGTTGGTCTGCCACTCCTTGCCATTTTGGCATATGTTGCCACTTTTTGCGCTTGGCCCCGGTAATGGCTGCTTGCAGCTATATTTGTAATTTGTAATTGATTTATTCTTTGAAAATTTTATATTTAATTTATGCAATTGCAATGCCTTGATTTTAGTAAAGTTTGTACACAGTCATAGCCATAAATGCAATGGCAGTAATAATTGGCATAATTTCTTTCGGTGTTTCGGTTTTCGGCCTTGGTTTCCTCTTTTTCGGTTTTCGGTTTCGGCCAAGAATTTTCATTTCGGTGCATGCCTAATGATTGCACAGTGTAGGCCACACCGATTTTTGTCGTTTTTGTCTGTACTGACAGCACTCCAAATGTACAAAAAAAATGACCTCAATGATAAAATTGACCGCAGTTCTCCTTTAATGACACCTGATAAGGATGATAATGCGTGACATCACTATTTGTGGCTGGCGATCAAGATCTGCAGTATGCCACTGGATTGAAGTCAGCTGAAAAACCAATTCACATGCAGGCAGCGCATGTACATTTGGATAAATTCATAACTATACATATTCATATTCATTCACAATTTATGAACAGATTCCATGTTGACTTTGCTTTAACTAACTCAAGCACACTAATGCTGTCCATTTTTGATGTTCTCTAACACTCGCTCTTGCCCTCATCCTGTCTGGGTCTCTCTGTATCTCCAGACCCTTCCCGCTCTGGCTCGACTGCAGGCTCTCCGCAGGGGGAACGCGCACCTCCTAGTGGAGAACAAAGCCATGCTGCGCACCCTCGCCCGCCTCTCTCAGACGGCCTCTCTCCCCGAGACGGAGGATCTCTAAGTCCTCTGCTCGCTTCTCTGTCCCTTCCTCCCTCCTGTTCTCCGCTGCACCCTGTAGTCCTCTTCCTCTGCCCCTCTGCTGCACACCTCTCAGGCAGGTCTCGCTCTTTCATTTGTTTCTTTTGCATTGGTCAAGCTTTTCCATCCATTCTTTCTTTCTCGCTCTTTCTCTCCTGGGTCTGGGGAAGGGCAGCCCCTCACATTCCTCCTGCAGGCGATGGCTTTGAAGATATTTATAGATCTTCCAAAACCCATGACCAAACGCCTCTACACTCCAGCAATGTCCAAATCAAATCACAGTCACTGTAGCTTCACATTCACAGTCTCTGCGAACACATAAACACACTAATATTGGACTCCAATATTACTCACAGTTAGTAAAAAAGTAAATCAAATCATTTTAAAAATTACACAAAATTACACAAACAAAATAATAATAGAATGATTAACTACCTCCCCCCAAAAACACTAGAATAATATAATAATATTTTTTCTGACAATAACTTTGGTTTGAATGAATAAACTTGATGAATGCTGTAATTTCCTGGGTGTCACAATTTTATGAAATGTTCTGTATTGTTTATTGGACGGAAATCTGATTTCAGGGAGCTTAATTATTATCAAAAATATTATGTTTTTTCATGAATGTAATAAGTTAAGTAATTGTAAATGTATCTGATATATCTAAACGTTTTCTTTATAAAAAAACATGGGAGTTGTTCCTTTAATTGCTTAAAGCCAGCATGGACAAGAAAAATATATACATTTTTTGGGGGAATTGATGTTGTACATGGGTATTTGATTGATGGTTGGATGGTTGTGGTTTGCTATTGGTGGCTCTCATGTGAGTGACAGGTTGCCCCGCCCTCACGCTAGTAAACACGTCATCAGAGAAGAGAAGAGATGCAAGAGGGATGGGAAGTTACTTTGATTAAATATTACATTGAGAATATTAAAAAAAAAATAATAACAATGATGCACACTGATAAATCATTTATAATAACCACTGCAAGATTTCATATATGTGTTTTTGTCAATTTTGATTTCATGGTCACTTTAAAAACCTAGCAGGACATCAAATTGTATCCTATTCATGCTAAATGCCTGTACTGTCACATTTTTTATTTTATTTTTTTTCAGCAGTTGAAATGTTGTTTTGTTTCGAATTATGTGATATGAAGGCATGAGTGGCTGGGTTTGCTCTCCCATTAAAGTGTGTGTAGTTCTGGCACTATTTTACTCACTGTAGTTGGAGAAGGGTATCCTTCTTTATGCATGAGCACACATTCACTTGGTCGTGCTAACACGCCATTCCTTAATAAAGGCCTATTTGAAAATCATAATTTGTGGTGTTATGGTCTAGCATCCATTGCATGTTTGATTACTTGAATCATGTTTGAGTAATGAATCATGCTTTTTACACATAAAACGAAATACAGTCACATCATGAGATACGCTATTTCAGCCCATTCTCAGCTAGCATTCTCATTTGGACATGCTTCAATATCTGACGCTTTAGGCGCCCTTTAGCGTCAGTCAGATGACGCCCTAGGATCGCGTGTACCCTACCCTACCCCCACCTCACACCTAAACCTAACCGCGTCCTCTAACTGACGCTTTCCTTTAGCGTCAGTTAGATGCGCCCGTAGGATCGCGTCATGTAAGTGACGCTAAAGGACGCCTAAAACGTCAAATATTGAAGCATGGTCAAAGGTGACGCCTTGGGGTGAGAATGCGTTGGCTATTTTATTCATCATAAAGTGTATCCCTATCTCATGGACTTAGCAATTTTAATTTCACATGAACACTTAAAGGGATAGTTCACCCAAAAATGAAAATTCTGTCAGTATTTACTCACCCTCATGTTGTTCCCAACCCCGTAAGACCTTCGTTCATCTTCAGAACATGAATTGAGATATTTTTTGATGAAATCGGAGAGCTGGATCACTCCATACTAGTCCATAGGCTTCATGAGGGATTGAAACTTGCCGGCCTCGAAAAGTTATTAAAGACATCGTTAAAATAGTCCAAGTGACTACAGTGGCTCAATCTTAACTTTATCAAGCGACGAGAACACATTTTGTGCGCAAAAACAAACAAAAATAACGACTTTATTTCAACTAATCATTTCCTTCTCTTTGGGCCTCTAGTCAGTTAAACTAGTGTAATTACGTAGAGCTGCATCACACGTAGGCTCACTATTGGCTGACGCTGGTCATGTACAACAACAGATCATACGTTGTTAAACTAGTAACTAGTTCCCATTCAGGGAACTTCGAGCTGCGTGTAAACGCCGTGGGAACGCCTCTGCGTGACGAGTCATGAAGCACGTATGAAATCTGTCCAATGGCGAGACGGAACGTCATAGGCGGGGTGACGTATCGACCAGGAAACTATAAAGCATCTCGAAACACAAGCGCAACAGCTTCTGAGTCTTCACAAGCGCTCTATGTATGAATTTGTCTGTCTGAAAATATTGTATTATATATATATAAGTGAAAATGGCGAGCAAACAACAGCATTTCAGAAAGTGTGTTCATCCCTGCCCTCGCTTCATCACGGGTGGGGATACACACGATCTGTGTGTTGCTTGTTTGGGAGTGCAGCATGCTCAGTCGGCTCTCGAGGGGGCTGGCTGTGAGCATTGCGAGTGTCTGCCCATGAAGACACTCCGCTCCCGCCGGGCACTCTTCGAGGAGAGTGGTTCGGTGCGCGCTCCCCGCGGCTCGGGTCCCGCTGCTGCCGAGGCACAGCGAAGGCTTGCGTCGTGGGGATCGCAGATGGATCTATCAGCAGGGATGGAGACGGGCTCCGCCCTTTCTCTGCCCTTACCTGGTAGATCCAGTGCCTCAGATCTCGCTGCGGGGGTCCGCGTTGCGGTTTCTCCTGCCCGGGCTGAGGCGCCATCGCTTCAATTATCCAGTTCTGAGGAGCTGGATGTTGAAAGTGTGGATGCAGAGTCGATGGACTCAGTGGAGATCGGGGACTCGCCATCCCAGTCTCCCGCGAATGTAGAGCTGATGGAGGTTTTGACTCGGGCTGTAGAAAAATTAAGCATTGAATGGCCAGTTGAGAAACAAGAGTCGAGGGTGAAGAGTAAAATGGATGAGAGATTTTTAGCGTCACACTCACTACCTCCGCGCCGGTGTTTGCCCTTCTTTCCCGATCTACACACCGAGGTGTGTAGATCGTGGAACAAACCAGTGTCAGCTAGAATTTTGACACACCAGACCACGACTTATTCCAATATTGCTGGGTCTAGGAGGCAGGGTTATGGGGCGATGCCGAGGATGGAGGAAGTTTTGGCGAGCCATCTTTCTCCTGAGACGGCATCGTCTTTTAAAACACCGGCCCTGGCTATGTGGAAAGAACCTTGGTTCCTGTCCCTGGGACCTGCGCTGGGAGCCCCGTGTCGCCGGGTAACGGTGACGACGGATGCCTCTCTCACGGGTTGGGGAGCGATCATGAGTGGCCAGATCCTGTTGTGGTCCCAGGGGAAACTTCGGTCGCTGAGAGCGATTTATATCCCAGGATACTTAAATCGGGGAGCGGACATCCTGTCGAGGCAGGGGCCGAGGCCCGGGGAGTGGAGACTTCACCCCGAGGTGGTGGAGCTCCTTTGGAGGCACTTCGGTCGGGCCGAAGTGGACCTCTTTGCATCCAGGGAGAATTCACACTGCCCGCTGTGGTTTTCCCTGAGTCCTCCAGCTCCATTGGGGCTGGATGCGTTGGTACAGGAGTGGCCGAGGGCACCCCTGTATGCATTTCCCCCGATTGCTCTGCTCCCAGGGGTTCTGGAAAGGATTCGCCAGGATGGGGTCAGTGTACTTCTGGTGGCTCCCCACTGGCCAACCAGGGTATGGTTTGCGGACCTGATTTCCCTTCTCGAGGGTCCTCCTCTGGAGATTCCGGTCAGGAGGGACCTTCTGTCTCAAGCAGACGGGGGGATACTCCACCCCTGTCCGGAACTGTGGAGGTTGTGGGCTTGGCCTCTGAGGGGGCCCAGCTCATAGATTCAGGTCTCTCGACTGAGGTCGTGGAGACCATCCTCCAGTCCAGAGCCCCATCCACGAGGAAGTTGTATGCCTTGAGGTGGAAACTGTTCACCTCTTGGTGTGGAGAGCGACAGTTGGATTCAGTTAACTGCCCGTTGTCGGCAGTGCTGGAATTCCTTCAGGAACGCTTCTCCACAGGGTTATCGTACTCCACACTAAAGGTGTACGTGGCGGCCCTATCCGCTTACCATGTTCCTTTAAATGGAGCTTCTCTTGGGAGACATACCCTGGTAACCCGTTTCCTTCGTGGTATCCTGAGGCTGAGGCCGGTAGTGCGTACGAGGGTACCGACCTGGGATCTAGCGGTTGTGTTGGAGGGGCTCTGTTTAGCCCCTTTCGAGCCCATTGATGAGGTGCCTGAGAAGTTTGTTACTCTCAAAACCATCTTTCTCCTAGCCATCTCTTCCCTAAAGAGGATTGGAGATATTCAGGCGCTGTCGGTTTTCCCCTCGTGCTTGGAATTTGCTCCCGGTATGGCAAAGGCTTTCATCCTCCCTAGACCGGGGTATGTTCCGAAGGTTCCAACTACGGTTGTCAAACCTATAGTGCTACAGGCCTTCTGTCCTCCTTCGTTTCGGACACCAGACCAGGAGAAACTAAATCTGCTCTGCCCGGTGAGGGCCTTAGACGCGTATGTCCACAGAGCTGCCCTGTGGAGGAAATCAGAACAATTATTTGTCTGCTTTGGGCCTGCGGCGTCTAAGCAGAGAATGAGTAAGTGGGTGGTCGAGGCCATTTCACTTGCTTATGAGTCCTCCGGTCAGCCTTCTCCCTTGGCTGTCCGGGCTCATTCAACCCGGAGTATGGCTGCCTCTAAGGCATTATTATCAGGAGTTCCCTTGTGTGACATCTGTGAGGCGGCAGGATGGTCTTCACCACACACATTTGTGAAGTTTTACCATCTGGACTTCAGCTCCACCCCAGGGGCGCAGATGCTTTCGTCAGAATGTGCTCTCTGATATTCATACAACGGACACCTGCTCGCATGGCGGCGTTGGTATTAGCGTTCCCACGGCGTTTACACGCAGCTCGAAGTTCCCTGAATGGGAACGTCTCTGGTTACGTATGTAACCTTAGTTCCATGAAGGGAACGAGACGCTGCGTGTCCATGCCATACTCCCAGCATGCCCGTGAGCGCTTGCTTCAGTCTTATCAGAAGCTGTTGCGCTTGTGTTTCGGGGATGCTTTATAGTTTCCTGGTCGATACGTCACCCCGCCTATGACGTTCCGTCTCGCCATTGGACAGATTTCATACGTGCTTCATGACTCGTCACGCAGAGGCGTTCCCACGGCGTTTACACGCAGCGTCTCGTTCCCTTCAGGGAACTAAGGTTACATACGTAACCAGAGACGTTTTTGCGCACAAAATGTGTTCTCGTCATTTGATAAACTTAAGACTGAGCCACTGTAGTCACTTAGACTATTTTAACGACGTCTTTAATAACTTTTCGAGGCCGGCAAGTTTCAATCCCTCAAGAAGCCTATGGACTAGTATGGAGGAATGATCCAGCTCTCAGATTTCATCAAAAATATCTTAATTCGTGTTCTGAAGATGAACGAATGAGGTTGGAACAACATGAGGGTGAGTAAATACTGAAAGAATTTTCATCTCTCTCAATCTCATCTTTTTTTTCAATCTCAGGTTTTGACAGAACTCAAGTCTGATAACCAGCGGCTGAAAGATGAGAACGGAGCCTTAATCAGAGTCATCAGTAAACTTTCCAAGTGAGGACGGCCGGTTGAAGAGGGAGGAGAAACGCTGAACACAGAGAGAACCAAATCTGAGAACTTCACATTGACTTCAACCTGATGGTTTGGGTCATCTCTTACTCTTGGTGCAGCAGCTCCAAGGTTAAAGGGAGAGTTCACCCAACAATGAAAATTCTGTCATCATTTACTCACCTTCACGTTGTTCCCAACTTGTGTGACTTCCTATCATCTGTGGAACATAACAGTAAATGTTTTGAGGAATGCCTCAAGTGTTGCTTTTGTTAATACAATGAGATTCAGTGCACTCTAAACAATGCTGGGTTGTTTTAACCCAAAAATGGGTAAAATATGGGAAAACCCAAATGTTTGGTTAAAAATGTAATTTAAAAATTTAACCCAACTTCAACTTTCGCTTTCAACTGTACATTTTTTTAGTTTTTAACCCAACATTTGGGTTTGTCCATATTTGTCTTCTTTTGTATTCCGGAGAAGAAAGAAAGTAACCACCTGCTTACAAAACACAGCTAAAACTTGCTTAAGATGGTAGCTGGATGTATTCTGGCTTAAACTGGTTGAGGTGGTTGACTAGCTAGACTACTTGCTAGTGGAGCTGAGGAGTGCTAGTGGAAATCTTAAAGGCCTCAATATATTCACAGAAAAGTTCCTTTTCATTCTTCGCTTGGGGGTAAATACAAGTTTGACATATCTTTG